CCGGGGAGGTGGAGGGGGCAGACTGGGTTTGGCAGATCGACCCGGGCCTGCCTTACCTCAGTCCCACGTATGGCCCGGAGGCCAAGGCCCGGCTGGGCTCGGCTGCGCACGCAGGGCGGTGCGGTAGGGCTTGGTGCAGGCAGGATGATGAGCGAGCAGGAGCGGTGTAAGGGATAATCCAGAAAGTTTGCCCGTCATTCCTCGTCATGAACCTGTCTAGTTTAGCCTATGCAATCTCTTATAACGCCTAATGCGTAGGCAACGCCGTGCCTGCAATGCATGCCAGTAGTGCGGGTTGGCCTACCCCGAGGCTCGCAGGGGCCGAACTGCTCCCGTAATTTTGCCGAAAGAATATGAGAAAAAACGGTCGTATTTTCTGGAGGGATCCCTAACGTAAGAAGGTCGGGCGGCGATCGGCTTTTGTCATCTATCGTGGGCTACTTGAAATTGTGCAACTTTTGCTACGGAACCCCTTTGTTTTGTTGGGCGACCCGGGGTGCATCGCCCCCATGTCAGCCGGACCTTACCAGGCCTGAGGGCGCTGGGGCGTACGACCCTCGCAGACAGCCGTTTTAGATCAATCACTCTTTCTTCGCGTGGCCGACAAAATGATAGTTTTGAAATCACCTCGTGTAAATGGTAATGGTAACAGTTGCTGTGCAAACGGAAACCTGTTGCGGAACGTTGTTGGGGTAATTGCAATGCCATGGTTATTTATTTTTGTAACTCGATCTGAATGTGTATGGAGATGGTGAGAGATTGCGCCTGCAGCCCGCTCGCCATATTGCGCAATGCATATAGCGACCAGAGGTTCATTCACGCTTTACTGCGCCGGTTTATTGATCTCTGATGGAATATCGCAATCGCAATCCGTCTGCCAATTCCTAATTATGACTCTTTTTCTTTGCATTTCATTGCTTTTTTGCGGTGCAGTGTTTGCTCGGTGCTTATTGGTTGGAACCATTAGGCATGTGGCAGCTCGTAACAACCGATTGGCTGGCTGCACAGCAACTTTCGTTGCATTGGAAACCGGGCCGATTAGGTTGTGTGTGTCTATGTGTGTGCGAGGGTGTGCAGAGTGCGTGTGTGTGTGTGTGTGTGTGTGTGTTTGCGTGCGCGGCCGGTCAGTCCACCATCTCACATACCTAATTGGCAGCCTAAGCACTAAGCATCCTTGAAATCGGTCGAGCGCTCAGGGAAAATAAGTACAGGCAGCGTGCCTTATAAAGAGAGTCACTTCATAGAGAGGTGACAAAAATAACAAAAAGATTGAAGTTTTCGAAGGAATGTTATTGGCGATTAAATCAAAGAAATCAGATTTATCTATCTTGTATCATGATAGTAGGTGCACATAAGAACCAAGGCTGACGCCGAGCTGACGACTAAATTAACCTCGGCCCTGGCTGTGGACGACTCGGGAAATGTCGTTACACAACGTTCGGCCGCTCTCGTTTTGACTTCATTATCCCCGGCGTCACGCGACAACCTGCGCCGCCGACGCGGCCGGGACGTTGACACTCCCGCCGCGGGGCCGGCCCAGCCCCAGCCCGGCACGGCCATAGACGCGGCCGTGACAGTTCGCCATGCCGTGACCACGAACTTGAAAAGAGAACTTTTTTCTTATTTTCACGGGGCGTGTGAGCCAAAACGGCTTAATCGGTGGTCCTGGGAGCCGGGCGCGGCGTGGCGCGGCGCAGAGGAGAAATGAAATGAAATGGAGAGTGAGCGGGTCCGGACGAGCCGAGCGGAGCCGAGCGGCCGAAGTGACGCGCAGCCAAGAATCCTACCCGAACAGAAAAAACAGTCTCTTCACCTTGGCTTGAAATGTTTTCACTTTCGAATTGTTTAAAATATTTCCTTCTCTTACACTTCTTACTCTTTAGGGTTTTTAATGTTTTTATTCTTACTAAAGGTTTGGCATTTTAACCGCTATCTTTACTCCTAAGATGTGAATTCTTTTAATTTAAGAGCAGTTTTCTTCAAATCCAGCGTGCACTGACTAAACTGTAAACATGGACAAATAAATACCTTATTTGCTAAGAATTTTGAAGTACTGACGACGCATTCCTACTTCTTCTTCAAGACAATATTATTCACTTAACATCTGATGGGTTCAAATTGTAGGCAATTGCAAGGCTATATTTCAGTGCAAATTTGAGGATTTGCAGGTGTTGGACTAGGAAGTTGAACACTAGGAAGTTGAACACTTTCATACTGTCAAAATTCCACAGTGTTTACTTCTTGCAATATTTCTTATTACCATAGTTTAACAGCTGCAAGTCTGCGACACGGGATTGAAAACTTGCATGCGTGCTTGCTATGATATATTTATTTTAAATATAAGAGCA